TTCCCACCATGACTGCACATCTCGACGTCGTGCGGGCCTGGCGAGACGACGTGGCAGCTCAACCGCCCGCCCTCGAGCTTGATCACCGCGGCCGCAAGCGACACCGGAGCCTTACTCGGTGCGACGCGGCAGCCAAGTGCGGCACATCAGGCGAATCGAGCACGTTGCGCGGACGACCCCGAAGGCGCTCGACATCGCCGTACGGGGCTGCATCTCGCACCACGTCGCGCAGCGCGATGGACGGCTCGGCCTCGCCGGCGAGAAAACGGTTGCTTCGCGTCGGTGGTCCTCGACCGTCGAAAGAAGCCAGAGCCCCTCGCGTCCCGGTCGCCGAACCGGCGGCAGCAGAACGCGGCGCGGCGGAGACAGCGGACCAGGAGCCGGAGTCGGAGCCACGATGAGAAATCGTACCGACCAGTGGAGCAGGGGGGATGGTTGAGACAGGACGTCCTACGCAAGCAACAGGCCGCCCAGAAGCCTGTGCATGGCAACGGGCATGGACATGGGCATGGTGGCTGAATCGACAAACCCCCCAGATCAGATGAGACGGTTGGGTGGCACAGTCGATCGATTTTCCGATTTCCTTCTTGACATGGGGTGTCCACCAGATCCGGGTTCCAATGTCAAGACTGGACAAAGCGGAAAAGAGGGAGGAGAGAAAAAAGAAGTGCGTGGTTATGCTGATCTGGGACCCTCCACGGAAATCTCGTAAGGTCCCATGACCCCCATTCTCAAGACGATTGGTGTGACGAGGGGAGTAATTACTCTGACACAAGCTGAATGACGGAAGGCTGGGCGGTAAGCGGCCGGCGGGGGTTATGAATTCGACATGTAATCATTAGTGCTGTTAGGTTTGTAGGTTGGCGCACCGCGTACTTATCTACCTACCTACCTAGGTAGATAAGGCTGAGCAGAACAGAAGCATCTACACGAGCTGCACTGCACAGCCGCCGCCTCGGAGCATAATTGTGTACATTTCTCTCTGTACAGTCTTAATATGTCCAAATTTTTCCCTGGATCTTCGAAAGCGCTCCCCTCCCTCCTCCTCGGTGACCAGAATTATTGAGGCATGGGATTCAATGTAGAGCCTAACGGCATCTCCAGTGTCCCTCAGGCGCTGGCATTCGGCTGGTAGGTGGGTGTCAAGTAGCACGGCCCCTCCGTCTCGATTCTGCACTGGGCCACGTGCCTCGAGGAGATTTCTCGCTAGCCGTATATGGCTTAGTCCTGACCCCGCCGGCACCTTCCCCCGCCGTAGGTCGCGCTCTCCAAATGCAAGTGACCATGCCCGGCCGCGCCTGCCTGTCACTGATGAGCATGTGCCGCGTCTAGTCAGCGAAGCCAAGGGCCAAGGCAAATGCAGGAAGGAGTGATGGCAGCAGTCGAGAAGGTATTCAAAGCGACCGCACCTACCCGCATCACGAAGGTCGCTCTCAGCATCACATAGGCCAAGTCAATACATGCTGTTCTTGAAAGAGCGCGTGGCCTGGTACTTCTAGCTTCTGCATCTGCATCTGCATCTGCATCTGTGTCACCGCACGTCGCCGGCCGACCGAAGGGCTCGTCTTCTCCCTTTCCTCTCTCGCCAACGCAAACGCCATGACGCGCGCTGTCTGAGAGGAGCATTCACAGACACTCCCTCCAGTCGCCCCTCTATCACAACCCGCGACCTCGCCCCGAGGAAGCACCCTTTGTTCCACACTACGTCGTCACACACCAGTCTGCCTTTGTCTCTCGATCAACCGCCTGCCGACTTGCTCATCGCCCACCGCGCATACCCCAACAGCGCGACCTCGGCGACTATCTGCTCGCATTTGGGCCGGAGTAGCGCCAACAGCCCGCATCCTTCTTGTCTTGTTCGTGGGCTAACATCGCCCGGTATACTCGTTCGTTCCTGTCCCTCCGGCGACGACACCTTCTTTTGTTCCTACGTCCCGTACATCGAGCCTCGGCAGCCTCGCAGCCTCTTCGGGAAACAGCAGGCTGCCCCCGCCCACAGAGCCTCACGGCATCCAGCGTCTCAACTGCATCGCGCGTTATGACCACTGCCACGCCCGCCCATCGACCTCCCGCGATACAACGTTCTTGACCCGCCTTCGGTGGCAGACATTTCTCCCTTCACCCAGAACCGAACGGCAACTAGACATCGTGCCTGTTTGTCTGCCCGCCTCCTCTGCCCGCCATGGCGTCCGCCAACCGGCATAACGGTAGGTTACATCTTGCCCCTTCGTCCTCCACACGATGCTAACATCGGGTTGCTGTTCAGGCCAGGCTGCTACCGTCCAAGACCCTAGCTGGAACAACCAGACAGCCCCAGCGGCGCAGGCGTGGAATGCGCAGGCCTTGCTTGCCCCGCGCAGCAAGCAAGCCGTTCCTTCCCCAGCTCACGGCTATCCCCAACGCAGCTACCCCATGACAAACCAATTCACCGGCGCACAGCACAATGGCGGCATGGTCTTCGAGTTCACCGGCCCTTCCGACATGTCCAACGACTCACTCCCTTCATCCGTGCCATCTACCTCATCGACACCAGCCACCGACGGCCGATCGACACCAAATGGCCATATGCAGGGTTTAGGCGGCATGATCGAACGCATGAACGGTGTCCAGGACCGCGCATATGCCCCCGCAATAAAGAGACGCAAAGTCGACACGCCCGAGGCTGACGCTGAGATGACTGGAAAGAAAGGTATGACCTCTGGGGGAAGCGGCGTGCTCGGCGCCTACGTGAAAGAAAAGCGAGAGGAGGCGCAACAAAATGGGACCGCAAGGACCACACACACAGTTGATTTAACATTGGGTAGGTCCCTCCCCGTTGCTTGTGGCCTGCCACCACCAACTGCTAACCTCCATTCAGTGGATGATGATGATGTCAAGGTGGTTGAACACCCCGACAATGAAGAGGTATGCTATGGCATGCTTCAAGGCAAGGTTCTCTGTAGCATTGTGCCGTCAGCCAAACCCGGAGCGAAGAGCCTGTTTGGTGACAACTGGTTCCCGCCCGCTAAGGTCGTGGCGAAGCGGATTACTGGAGACAAATCAAAGCGCATCTCACTTTACGACTTCACCCGGGAGATCATTGGCAATATTGACGAAATGACAGCCGGTGCTCTTACG